AGAGAAGAGGATGAAACACTACTCGACTCACCACTCGACCTAGGTACTTGATTGCATCACGATCAGATCAAGAAACCGCAAAGGCACCAGCTTTACTCGACCTCTCTACTCGATTGCACAAGCCGAATGTCTCCGTAAACCGCCTTAATACTTTGTCGTCTTGTGATTTAGGGTTTCCTAGTATTTGCTATAAATAGGTTGTTTCTCTTAATTTTGAGGACTAAGTTTTTATTCTGCAGAACAATTAGTGCTTTCTTCATATTTGTAATCCAGATTTCTCTTAATCTATTGAGTATTTGCTTTTGATTTCTTCTACAAATTTGTTCATCTTGTTAAGATCTTGCTAATATGAAGTTTTTGTGCATTTCTGGGTTTGTGTTCTTGGTTATGAATTTTGAGTAGTGATTAGGGTTCTTGAGGATGGGTTAGAGTAGCTTAGAATCCTTGATCTGCTAGGTGGTTGAGTTTGATTGGTAGATCCCTTCTGGATTAGTTGTTCTTAATGCTAATTTCTTTCTGATCAACTGGAATTTGAACCCAGACATTTCCGCACCCAAAAGGTGTTCGATGAAATGTCTGAACCACTAATTCCAGAGATTCGTGGCTCTGTACCAAGGTATTGGTTTCAGGGAGCGTTTTGGCTTTGACTTGTTGATTCGTAATGCCTGTTGGGCTAGCTCTCGTCAATGGTGATTGAGTCTGGGACTAGTTTAACTTGAGGATCTCTGTTGCGGTAGCACTTTGATTTGGTTACTGAACTTGTTGTCTAGGGATAGTTTGTTGAGCATGTTAACCACCTGTAGATTAAGGAGACTTCACTACTCGATTACCCCATCCTCGGGAATTTCTCTTCCAATTGATTTCTTTGTGTACATCGCTATTGATTGCTTGATCTTGTCACTTGGTTCTTAATTTTCGTTTTTGCTTAATTCACTTGAAGTACTCGACCACACACAGTGGTTTGGAAACGAACTGTGTGGTAGAGTAGTTTTATTGCAGTTTCCATTTGGTACTCGACCTGATACTCGACCACACACAGTGCTTTGGAAACGAACTGTGTGGTAGAGTATTTTTATTGCTGTTTCTGTTTGGTACTCGACCTGTTACTCGACCACATCCAGTGTCTGGCAAACAGACTGTGTGGTAGAGTAGTTTTATTGCAGTTTCTGCTGTTACTCGACCTGATACTCGACCACGCCCAGTGCTTGGCATAAGGCTGTGTTGGTCGAGTATATTAGCTGTTTCTGTTATAATTTCTGTTTTTGCATGATCACTTAGGATTGTTAACAACATCAAAACCTGTTATTGCTGGGCTTGACTCTGTGACTTCTGATCACATCTCATCTGTTAGCATCACACCCATTTGGATTGACACCTTAAATACTGCAATGACATGATAGTATTTAAGGATAATTGATCTTAGTTAAAATCCTACTATCAATTTGGCGCCGTTGCCATTTGGGTGTTTGTTTGTTACATTTGAGATTTCAGACTTGCTTAGATCAAGTTCTATTTCAATTTTCACTTCAGTTACTAACTTAGTGTTTTTCTTGTTGTCTTCTTGATCCAGATACAACCTCCGCTGTATGCAAACCAGATCAAAAGGCAACCAGAACCTCCTTTTCAACGACAATATCGACCGCTTAGACAGAGGACTAAGAGAAAGGAGAGACACAGTAGACCTTGAGCACAACCATCCTTTCAGAATGGCTGATGAACAAGATGTCAACAATCTGCCTGCTAACATTGGTGCTGGAGATGCACCAAGAAACCACCATCAGAGGCAGGGAATTGTGCCTCCTGCTGTCCAAAACAACAACTTCGAAATTAAAAGTGGTCTCATCTCGATGATTCAGGGAAACAAGTTCCATGGTCTGCCTCTGGAAGATCCCTTAGACCACTTGGATAACTTTGACAGGCTCTGCAGCCTGACCAAGATAAACGGTGTTAGTGAGGACAGTTTCAAGCTGCGCCTGTTTCCCTTTTCACTGGGAGACAAAGCACACCAATGGGAAAAGACGCTACCTGCTGGCTCCATCACATCTTGGGACGATTGCAAGAAGGCCTTCTTAACAAAGTTCTTCTCAAATTCAAGAACTGCAAGGCTAAGGAACGAAATCTCCGGTTTTACCCAAAAGCAGTCTGAATCCATTTGTGAGGCCTGGGAGAGATTCAAAGGCTACACTATACAGTGTCCACACCATGGTTTCAAGAAGGCTTCTCTACTAAGTACACTCTACAGGGGAGTTTTGCCCAAGATCAGAATGTTGCTGGACACTGCTTCTAATGGGAACTTCTTGAATAAGGATGTTGAAGAAGGCTGGGAATTAATTGAGAACTTAGCTCAATCCGATGGTAATTATAACGAGGATTTTGATCGCTCCAACAGAGGTATTGGAGATTCGGATGCAAAGCATAGTAAAGAAATGAAAGCTCTTAATGAGAAACTGGATAGGCTTCTCCTTGGCCAGCAGAAGCATCTGAACTTTCTACTTGATGACGAGCAGTATCAAGTCCAAGATGGGGAGGAGAACCAGTTAGAAGAGGTCAGCTACATCAACAATCAAGGTGGCTACAAAGGGTATAACAACTTCAAGACTAACAACCCCAACCTTTCTTACCGCAGCACCAACGTTGCTAATCCACAGGATAAAGTGTATCCCCCACAACAACAGCAGAACCAGAACACACATTTTGTTCCTTACAACCAAGGTTTTGTTTCGAAGCAACAATTTCAAGGGAATTACCAACAGCAACCACCACCTGGGTTTGCACCTCAACAACACCAAAGTCCTGCTGCTCCTGACTCTGACATGAAGCAAATGCTACAACAGCTTCTCCAAGGACAAGCCTCTGGCTCAATGGAGATCGCTAAGAAGATGGCTGAATTACACCATAAGCTAGATTGTAGCTACAATGACCTGAATGTAAAGGTGGAAGCATTGAGCTCCAAGGTCCGATACTTAGAGGGACAATCCGCATCCACTTCTGCTCCAAAATCTCCAGGGCAACTCCCAGGGAAAGCAATTCAGAATCCAAAGGAGTATGCTAATGTTCATGCTATCACCCTAAGGAGTGGAAGAGAGTTATCCACCAGAGAGGGACCCACGCCAGTCACTGAGGACAGTGCAGACCAAGATGGGGAGGATTCCAGTCTCAATAAAGATCAAGTTGACAAACCAAATGAAGTACTCGAGCCCATACTCGATGGTGATACTCGATCAACAAATCCAGTAACATCATCCACTGCTCTAAAACCAGTTGCTGTTAAAAACAAGGAGAAGGTCTTTGTTCCTCCTCCTTACAAGCCTCCACTCCCATTCCCTGGTCGACACAAGAAAGCGTTAGAAGATAAGTACAGAGCTATGTTTTCCAAAAACATAAAAGAAGTTGAAGCCAGGATACCTCTTGTTGATGCTCTCGCGCTTATCCCGGACTCCCACAAGTTCCTGAAAGACTTGATCCGGGAGAGAATTCAAGAGGTTCAGAGAACAACAGTTCTGAGCCATGAGTGCAGTGCCATCATACAGAAGAAGGTTGTCCCAGAAAAGCAAGGAGACCCTGGTTCATTTACTCTACCATGCTCCCTAGGTTCATTGACTTTCAATAAATGTCTTTGTGACCTAGGAGCATCAGTAAGTCTCATGCCTCTCTCAGTAGCTAAGAGGTTGGGTTTCAACAAGTATAAATACTGCAATATCTCCTTGATCTTGGCTGATAGGTCTGTTAGACTACCTCATGGGTTATTACACTACAAGAAAAATCAACATTGATAGCAGTAGAAGATAGCACATTTTCCTAAACTGCTATAAAATATGAGTTCGTAATTTTGGTTACTTTATAATAGCACCGGATAAACGCTAAGACCCCAAATCCTTTAGCGGGAAACAAAAATGACCTATTCCGCCAACACTTAGCCAAAATAATTCACTTTTCCCTCTGTTCTCGAGAAAACACAAACTTTTCACTCTCTTTAGTATCAAAACCTAAACTTCTCAGATCCACGATTTCTCTCTAATCCTAGCCAATTTGCATACCAAAATCGATTCCAAGCTTGTCGCCGGCCATAAATTTATGTTCCTCCGCAGTCACATTCTCCAGCGCCGCCGCAGACACATTCTCTAGCTCAAATCGAAGGCATCTCTTTCTTCCCAACTCTAACTACATTCTTTCTCTCTTTCGACTTGTTTAGATTTGATTGCAGTCCTTGAAATTATCGATTTCGCTCAATATATGCTCGATTCCAAGCTTGAAATTATCGATTTCTATCTGTTTTTTTTTTTAATTTCTCTCTGCGATTTTAGGGTTCATATGCTTTGAACTGTTTTTAATTGAACTGTATTCGTGATTAAGCTCAAATCCAAGCCATGTTTCAAATCTAGGGTTTATATTAATCGATCTGTTTTCTATTAAGTGCTATCCTTTTGCATGTCTGTGAATGAGAATTAGTTATCTGTGCTCGTGCTTTAGTTTATAGTTTTGAGCTTCGCCTGATGAAGAAACGAGAATAGTGTTTTGGTTTTGAAAGTTTTAATCGATTTTATTGTTAAATAGGATACTGACTAAACTAATTTTATTATTTTGCAAGTGTTGGTGATTGCATTATTGGGGAACTGAAGCTTATCTTGTTGTTGTAATCACTCACAGGTTAGTCCTAAACTAATTTTGCAGTTTTTCTTTCTCTTACTATTGTTTTGGTTTGTTCTTCAACTTTTTTTTGTTATTTATAATGTGTTTGAGTTATATTTGAGTTTGAGTTAAACATAGTGTAATGTTTTAAGTGTGTGAAGAGTTAAACTTAGTGTAGTGCTTTAAGTATCTGAACTTGAGATGATAATTGTCAGATATTATGTGTTTGTGTTCTTGTCAGTTTGTGTTGTTGTCTTTGTGTTAATATAATGTATTATCTTGACCACAGTTAGATGTTTGAGTTTCAGATTGTGTTAATGTCTTATCTAGAACTTGAGATGGTATCTTATGGTTGAATTGTTGTTCTAAAGGTCTTACTTACGCTTAGTACATATAATGTTGGACAAGTCATGGGTCCATCTCTGCAGGTAAGGAATTAAAATACTTTAAGAGTTTAAATGTTGGACAACTCTTAAATTACTTTAAGAGTTTTTTTTTTTCTCTTCTATTCTTAAGAGTTGATCCTGCTTATGAGAGAGGTGCTCGGAAATTTGTACGAGCTGTGACTGAGGCTTTAGGAGACATTGATAAGCTAGTTTGTCCATGCATCGACTGCCGTAATATTGATCGTCACTCGGGCAGTGATGTGGTTGATCATCTTGTAACAAGAGGAATGGATGAGGCATACAAGCGGCGGAGTGATTGGTATCATCATGGAGAAGTGAGCTCTGGGGCTGAAGTAGAAAGCAAAGTAAACCACTGGAATGAGGAGATATTTGACTTATATAAAGCTGCTGAATATTTAGATGAAGAGTTAGCTAGTAAAGGTGACTTAGGTGAGATTGTAGAGGGTGACTTAGTTGAGATAGCTGAAGGTGAAGACAAGAGAGAAGATGAGTTCCTTGCAAAGCTAGCAGATGCGGAGACACCATTGTATCCAAGCTGTGCGAACCATAGCAAGCTATCAGCTATTGTGGAGCTGTTTAGAATTAAGACGAATAATGGCTGGTCTGACAAGAGCTTCAATGAACTGCTTGAGACATTGCCAAAGATGTTACCCAAGGAGAATGTGCTTCACACATCATTGTATGATGTGAAGAAGTTTTTGAAGAGCTTTGATATGGGATATGAGAAGATCCATGCATGTGTAAATGATTGTTGCCTATTCAGAAAGAAGTACAAGAAGCTCGATAATTGTCCAAAATGCAAGGCCTCAAGGTGGAAGGTTAACATGCACACTGGTGAAGTAAAGAAAGGTGTCCCACAGAAAGTATTGAGATACTTTCCAATAATCCCACGGCTTAAGAGAATGTTCAGAACTGTGGAAATGGCGAAGGACTTAAGGTGGCATTTTAGTAACAAGAGCAGCGATGGAAAACTCCGTCATCCTGTAGATTTTGTTACTTGGAAAAAAATGGATGACAAATACCCTTCCTTTGCAGCTGAAGAAAGGAACATCCGGCTTGGACTTTCCACAGATGGATTTAATCCGTTCAACATGAAGAATACTAGGTATAGTTGTTGGCCTGTTCTGTTAGTTAATTATAATCTGCCTCCTCACTTATGTATGAAGAAGGAGAACATCATGCTTACCTTGTTGATTCCTGGACCACAACAGCCTGGTAATAGTATTGATGTTTACTTAGAACCTCTAATAGAAGATTTAAACCATCTGTGGAAGAAGGGAGAGTTGACTTATGATGCCTTTAGTAAAAATATTTTTACTCTTAAGGCAATGCTTCTTTGGACTATTAGTGATTTTCCTGCTTATGGAAATCTTGCAGGCTGCAAAGTTAAGGGTAAAATGGGATGTCCTATATGTGGAAAAAACACAGATAGTATGTGGCTGAAATTTAGCAGAAAGCATGTTTTTATGTGTCATAGAAAGGGATTAGCACCAACACATAGTTATCGGGATAAGAAGGCATGGTTTGATGGGAAAGCTGAACATGGGAGAAAGGCTAGAATATTAACTGGTCGTGAAATTTCCCAAAATCTGAGAAACTTCAAAAACGATTTTGGTAATGCTAAAGAATCTGGAAGGAAGAGAACAAGGACTGAATATCTTGACTCAGGATCTGATATTGATGATGAATCCAGTGAATCAGAAGAAGAGGAAGAAGTAGCAGTTGACGAGGAAGAATTATCAAGATGGAAGAAAAGATCCATTTTGTTCAAGCTGGAGTATTGGGAGGTATGTTTAATTGATTAACTTTCAGAATTAGTCAATTATACTATGGGTTTAAGTTTGGTTTTGTTGTATTTGCTAGGATCTCCCGGTGAGGCATAATTTGGATGTAATGCATGTAGAGAGAAATGTGGCTGCAAGCATTGTCTCTACATTGTTGCATTGTGGAAAATCAAAGGATGGTCTTAATGCTCGTAAAGATTTGCAAGAACTTGGGATAAGAAAGGATTTACATCCTAGTACACAAGGAAAGAGAACTTACCTTCCAGCAGCTCCTTGGTCTTTATCAAAGAAAGAGAAGAAAATTTTCTGCAAGCGGCTTTTTGATTTTAAAGGTCCAGATGGATATTGCTCTAATATATCAAGGGGTGTATCATTAGAGGAGTGTAAGATAACAGGTCTCAAATCACATGATTATCATGTATTGATGCAACAACTACTCCTAGTTGCACTTAGAGGATTGTTACCAAAAGGACCTAGGACAGCAATCTTTCGCTTATGCGCATTCTTCAACATGTTGTGTCAGCGAGTTATTGACAGGGAGCAAATTTCAGTAATGGAAGCTGAAATAGTTGAAACTCTCTGTATGTTTGAAAGATTTTTCCCACCCAGCTTCTTTGATATCATGGTACACTTGACAGTTCATCTAGGAAGGGAAGCTCGTCTTGGAGGACCAGTCCATTTTAGATGGATGTACCCATTTGAAAGGTATAGCTTCTGTTATATACTTTAGCCTTTTTATTCTTGAAAACACAAAATCTGTTTCATTACTAATGTTTATATTTAATACTGTGCAGGTACATGAAAGTTCTGAAAGACTTTGTTAGAAATCCTGCAAGACCGGAAGGTTGTATCGCAGAGTCTTACCTTGCAGAAGAATGTGTGCAGTTTTGTAGTGATTTTCTGAAAAAGTCAACTAGTGTAGAAGAAAAACTGGATAGAAATACAGAGTATGAGAATATCTCTATTCTAGAAGGTCGGCCTATATCCGCAGGCACTTCATTTACTCTCACTGAAATGGAGAAAAATATAGCACATCTTGATGTCATATAGAATATTGCTGCTTCGGAAATTTTCCTTATTCTTCGGGGAATTTGGAAAGATTTCCTCGTTCGACATTATCTTCCAAGATTTTTCCTATCTCTCCGAATATTCCGGAAATGATCTTTTTTATCCGGAAATGATCTTTTGGAAACGATAACTTACAAATCTTTGCCTCGAGTGTTTCTGTTAAGACTTCTCCTCGGGTTTCTTTCTCTCGGCTCGGTGTTATCACTTGAGAAGCGGTTTCAGGATGATTGAAGTAATCGTCTCGGGACAAGGCAATGATAAATGACCTCGGATGAGTCAGTGGCTTGGATGCGTAGTTAGTGACCCAAGATTAAAGGGTGTTGACCGAGGTGAGACGAGATGTTTCCGAGGCGAAGTGGACTGTTTTTCCAAGGCATTCATCTCAGCTCGTATCCACGAAGTCTTGTCTTAGGACCCGAGCCACTTGTGGATTTAGCTCGGTCCTGATCACTAGCGAATGTCAACCAGAGCCATTTATTGATTTGGCTCGGCTTTCTTTATTGTCATTGGTACGATCCCGAGATATTTCATGGTTGTCAATGTTTGGCTCGGTCTCATAAGGCGGGTGAAATCCGACCCCAACAGTTAGGCCCCCAGCTCGTTAACTTGGGTAGTAAGTGTGGCGAGCTTCATTGATAAACTGACTGAGCCATCAACTTCTGCTTGGAGCTACCTCTAAAGTGGTTGATAGCCGAAGCAATCTATCTTTCCTAACGTTTGTTCTTTAACGCTTTGTCTTCTTCGACGTTTCGTCTTCTTTTGCGTGTGACGGTTGGGTTTCCTCCTTGAAAAGCAGAAACGTCTTTTGCTGATTTTTGAAATTTTCGCAGACGCAACGTATTTTGCCGAGCTCACGCGCACCCGACGCGCTTAAAATCTTTATAAATACTAAGTCCTCATTTCATTTTACCATTTCGTAGTCATGAAGCAAAAATTTGGGTTCGCTCTCTTCTCTCTGATCTTGATTTTTCTTTTCCGTTCTTTATTCCCTTGTTCCGCCGCAGCAATTCGGATTTGTCTTGATTTTCTCGGTTAGCGATTTTTGTTTGCCGATCAATCCATCTTTCTCCGAACAATTCTCCCAAGGTAAATGATTTCAGATTTAAGCGATTCGGTCAGACACGACGATCCTCTTCCAGTTTTCAAAAGAAGAATGATTTGGAGCAGCCCTTCGAATGATTCCGAGGCGAGTACTTCGGGATCAAACAACATTCAGCTTCGGGACAGCGATGTAGAATCTTTGCCTCGTGGCCAGGAAAATCCGAGCCGTTTTGTGCCTCGGGACAGCGATGTAGAATCTTTGCCTTTGCGAATGTAGCTCGTGACCTGGATTTGCCCGAGGAATCTGACGAGATGCTTCGGAGGAAGAACTGTCGCCAACCAGCGTTATGCGAAGCTGGAGGTTCTAGTTGGCAAGAAATGCTCGAGCTACCGATTCTTCTCAAGGTTAAAGACGAGGAAGTGTATTATAACCCCAAGGAGGCAGCGAAACTGCTTCAGATAGCGTTTTAGACGCAAGCTGCAAAGGCCGAAAAAGGAGGAGAACCCGAGCAAAGTGGCGAAGAGACCCGATCGACCTGGTTTCACTTTGAGCACTGAAAAATCTCTTTGGGATTTGAGGGTGCGCTTTGGATTCAACGAGGGCGTCACTCTTTGGCTTCCCAATCCGAATGAACGAGCCGATGATCCTCCCGAGGGCTTCTTCAGTTGTATGAGGGGTTCTTTCATTATTACTTCCTCTAGTTCCTGATCCCGAGGCTGATCGTTGAGTATATGTGGTCATAAAAAATCGCCCTTGCTCAGCTAACAAACCGTGCGTTGAGGCACCTCATTGGGATTCTGGTCTGGAGTTACAAGACGAAGACATACATCTCGTTAAAACACATGAGGAATCTGCTGGATATTCGTCGTACCCCGGGCCATCTCGAGAGATACTATATCTCTCTTGCCAAGAACAAGATGGTTATCGACGGTTTCCTGAGCAAAGATGTGAAATACGTCGATCACTTCTTCTTTGTGGCCCTCGACGAGTCTTCCGTGCCCGAGGATTGCTTTGGGAAAGTCATGATGAAATGGGGCAAACTTGGTAGCTGAACCGTAGTTTTAAGATTGCCCATTGCCACGATTTAGCTGACTACGCTAATGTTTGTTTTTTGTTTTTTTTTTTGCTTGCAGATCGTACTCCGACGTTTCTCGAGCCCTACCTTGACGATCTTCTTGAGGTGCACGAGGAATTAGCTGCTCGAAGGTGTAACTGGTATAAGCATTTCTCCCGCTTAAGGATAGAGAGAGCTCTAAAGCTATCGTGCGGCGTTCCTTGTACACCCAGCTCGGAATTGTCAGATTAACGAGCCCAATTTTTCGTCGACATGCAAGGAGTCAAACTTACTCTTTGAAAGAAAAAGGGTGAGGAAAAAAAGAGTGGTCGAAGAGAAGAAAGCTGCCGAGACGGCTTCAGAAACTCAAACAACTACCCCCTAGGTGACTAACGAAACAGAGGGGGTAGAGGAAACGAATCCTAACCCCGCTGCTGCTGTTCCGACCGGTCCTGAGGCGGCTGAAACCATCCCTGTCGTGGACGTTATTAGCCACATCCCCGAGGCTATAGATGCCATGGAACCCTTTACCCTATCCGACGAGAAGCATATAAAGGCCAAGAAGAAACGTCATGCGGTCAAGAATTCTGGGAGGAAGAGGAAGAAGTCAAAAAAGAATCGGAAGAATGAGATTCTGTCGATCTTCAAGGATGTGGTCGCTGTTGGGGTCGGATCCCACACATCTTCGGTAGGATCCACTTGGATCTGTCCACGTCATTATTACACAATAATCCTCTCAGAATTCAGGATATTTTATTATAAGGATCGAACTTAACTAGTCGGGAGTTCGATTCAGTTTACTAAAAGAGTTCGATCTTTACCAGTACGGAGTTCGCTCTTATTCAACATACAGTTCGCATAGAGAAAGGCCGAAGCGAGGAAAATATTGTTTGAGGCTCACGGTAGCGTCAAGACGCGGGAGTTCAGAGTCAGCAAGAAAGAGTTCGGAAGATCCACGCGAAGCCCAAGATAGTTCGAATTCAAGCCGTTTCGGTCAAAATGTAACTTACATGGTTAATGCGGATCAACGCGATTATGAGCAGTAAATGACCGCATTGATCATGTTTTCTCTATAAAAACAACCTCAAACGCATGTGTTTGAGGAGACGGATCTGATTACTCATTACTTCTAAGCAATACTTCTAAGTTTATACTCAAGGATAATACTTCCGCTAATGATTGGGGGGCTGACTGGAGGGTACCCATCAAAAATTCCATTCTTAATGGAGAACTACCATCAAACAAATGGCAAACTCGCAAATTAAGAATCATCAGCGCTAAGTATTGTATAATTAAAGAGTCATTGTACAAGCGAGGCATCAATGATCCTTATCTTTTATGTATTTTCGGACCTGAAGTTGAAATAGTGACAAGCGAGGTCCATGAAGGGCTTTGTGGTAGTCATTCTTCGGGATGAGCAATGGCTTTTAAAATCAAACGGTTAGGATATTTCTGGCCAACTATGATTTCTGACTGCATCGATTACGCCAAACGGTGTAAAAAGTGTCAGATGCACGCTCCTCTTATTCACCAGCCATCTGAATTTTTATCATCTATATCCGCTCCATACCCTTTCATGAGATGGTCAATGGATATAGTCGGTCCGATGCATCGCTCAACGCGGGGCGTCCAATACCTATTAGTTCTAACGGACTATTTTTCCAAATGGATCGAAGCTGAAGCTTACGTAAACATACAAGATTCTGTGGTAAAGACATTTTTATGGAAACACATTATTTGTCACCATGGAGTTCCTTACGAAATAGTAACGGACAATGGCCCCAGTTCATTTCAAATGAATTTGAAGATTTTTGTTCCTCTTGGGGAATAAAACTTAGCTATTCAACGCCGAGGTATCCTCAAGGAAATGGGCAAGCAGAACCTTCCAATAAAACTATTCTCAACAATCTTAAAAAGCGTTTGAATGCTCGGAAAGGTGGTTGGTATGACGAGCTGCAACCTGTGTTGTGGGCATATCGAACAACCCCAAGACGAGCAACGGGAGAAACTCCATTTTCATTAGTATATGGGATGGAAGCAGTAGTCCCAGCCGAGCTGAATGTTCCTGGTTTACGCCGGAACGAAGCTCCACTTAACGAAGAACTGAATTCTAAACTATTAGAGGACGTTCTCGATACAACTGATGAAAGGCGAGACCAATCCCTTATTCGACTTCAGAATTATCAACAATTGACCGCTAGATACTATAACTCAAAGTTGAAAAACAGACCTTTAAATGTAGGAGACTTTGTTTTAAGGCGAGTGTTCAATAACACAAAAGAAGAAGGAGCTGGAAAACTCGGTATTAACTGGGAAGGCCCTTATCAAATCACAGAAAAAATCCGAAATGGTGTATACCAGCTTAAAAGACCTTGACGGAAATCCCGTTCAAAGGCCTTGGAACATCATCAACTTGAAATAGTTCTATTGCTAAAGCAAACATATCGAACTACGATTTGGCTTGATCCTATTTTGGGTACGTCGGCAGCTCGCTAAACACGAGTCCAGCTATAATATAAAAATAAAAATATTATTCCAGTCATGGAATCTTGTTTTTATAAATATGGATATTCGAGCATGAATATAAAAATACGTTGCGAACAATGTATAAATAAATATTTTTAGCTAAAACCAGATCTAGAAGGGTCTTGGACTACGGAATAGTTCTGCTCCTTGGCCTGCGAGGTACACGATGCTCAGGATACAATCTGGCATGTTTCCGTACTCCTGGAGTCCTATCTCGATCCAATCGGAAGGATGGGCTTCTCGACGATGAAGCTCGCGAGCAATATCGAGGCGACGCTTCTCTAGTTCCATTTTCTTTCTTCTATTCTCTTTTTTCTCATCTTTGAGCTTGTTATGCTGAGTAATAAGCTAGAGAAAATAAAACGTATCATTTAACAAACAACGAAAGGAGTCAAATTACTAGGCTAAACAGTACCTTGTTAATGAACTCCTCGGCCTTGACACGATCTTGCGCTGATAATCTCTCGATTAACACGTTCGGAACCTGAATGCTGGTTCCCCAACCTAATCTACGTGACTCTTCTGGTTCCCCAGTTGCTTCCGCTTTTACAAGCTCGATGTCTGACGTTCCTGGAAGATCGTCGCCTATCATTTTGGATAAGTCGGAAAGGTTGCGACCTTTCGATTTTCGTGTACATGCACAAACAAGACCTACGAAATATAGGTTATTCAAGTATCACTTAACACCTAGTAGGCGAACTTAATTT